GCTTCGTCAGCTGCCCTTCCCTCTCTGAACTGCAGCTCAACAAGCAATGGCTCTCCCTGCCTTGCCCTGGCCACTTACTTTAATTTCTGCCAAAGTGAAGTAGAAAACTAGCTCTGTGTCCAGACCAGTGCCACGTACATGAAGGCATTCAGTAAATACTTGAGGATATTAAAACATGAGCCAGTTTTTGAAGGAGAGGAGGGTTCTCCTGAATTTCCTGATAAAAATTTAAGTGAAGTAAGATTTGGATCCTTACTACTTAGACATGAAATTAATTTTCTAATTTTTGTAAACAGTGGATAATTGGCAATTATTTCTATTCCTCTGAAATGCAACAGGTATCTATTGATATCTCTGAAGTTCAACCCAGACAGATCCCAGTCTACTGCACTACTCTGCTTCAAAGGTTGCCTTTTTGCCCTAGTTGGTTTGGCTCAGTGGATAGAGTGTTGGCCTGCGGACTGAAGGGTCCGGGGTTCGATTCCGGTCAAGGGCATATGCCTGGGTTGCGGGCTTGATCCCCAGTAGGGGGCGTGCAGGAGGCAGCTGATCAATGATTCACTCTCATCTTTGGTGTTTCTATCTCTCTCCCCTCTCCCTTCCTCTCTGAAATCAATAAAAAAAATTTTTAAAAAAGGTTGCCTTTGTGTTGAGGAAAATGTCTGTCTCCTCAGGGCTGAATTGGAGCAGCAGTGGTGGAGATGAGACAGGAGAGGCAGGAAGGAAGAGAAGGATGAGTACAAATCAGCAACTGACTGAAACCCACATGGGTAGAAGCAAAATGTCCTGCTGCCTTCCTCTATCTCCTGTACCCATGAAGTGCCACTATCCAAATAAAATAACTAAAATAGGGAAGGAATAGATTTATTGCGTGCCTGTCTATGCATGCCTTAGCAACCGTGGTATGCAAAATTCATATTTCTATTTCAACCACAATGTTCAGTGGTCTTCTAGCCTAGTTATTGGAAAATTGGGCTCCAAATGTTTTTCTTTTAAAATATGTATCACTCATTCCAAATTTTGGTTTCAATCACAAAACCCATAACAAATTTAACTGAAAATGAGAAAGGTAAATTAGTGATGTTTTTTTATTACAAAGCCAAAAGAACAGCAATTGACAAGCACAAACAACTCAGGACATTACCAATAATGTACTCATAGTAAAGATTCCTTTTTAAAATTTGCAGTAAGACCAACAACCCATGTGAGGACTGTCATAGAAAAGGCTTCTCAAGCATGCCAAGTATTGAGCAGCCACACACTTCTTAGCATACTAAGTTACAGTTCTCAGTAAGCCTACAAATGCACTTGTTATAATTTTACCACTAAAACTTGCTAATCTTAACAGTTTGTAAGTAACCAGTATCTTTCCTTGATAATTTTTAAAATGAGAGCACAGGGAAGGAACCAAAATGGCAGTGTATGTAAACACCTGTACTCGCCACCTCCCACAAGTAGCAAGTTGTAATCAAATTACAACTAAAATATAGAACAATCATCATCCAGACCTGCCAGAAAGATGGCTCAATCAAAGTCCTACAACTACAGAAGTAAAGAAGAAAGCACACTGAGACTGGTAGAGATGCAGAGGCACAGAACAGGCTGGTCCAGCACCCACGTGTGCCGCTCTTTTAATTGGGAGGGAGATCGTCTCTGTAGAGGCCGCCCAGAGGAGCAAAGGGCCTCAGCACCACACCAGACCCCCAGCCCAGGCTCCCAGAGGTGGGAAAAGAAGTCCCCATAACCATGGGCTGTAAAAACCAGTGTGGATTG